AATCTTTTAATCATTAAACTGTATAAAAACAAAAGAAATTGTTATTGACGTTTCAAAAATCTCATTTTGCATTCCAAATATTCTATAATTAAAAAGAAAAATACACTTGTGAGGAATATATAATGAGATTTTTGGAGTGCTAATAACAATTTCCAAAACAAATGGTCGAATAAGATAAAAGCATTATGAGTCATTTATCTATTTGTTGTAGTTGACTAACTAGTCGATCTCATTTTAAATTGATTTTTACAAAAATAAGCTTTATAAGTGATTTATAATATGAACGGTTCCAATCATAATGTATATTGAGGGGGAACTCAATCTAACGGAGCCAAACTTTTTTTCGTTGAATTTGACCAATTATAAAAAAAATAAATATTAATTCTACTGGAAAGTTTTGTTATGGATACGAGGGTTCATTATGTCTCAAGTTAATGCCAAGATTTTAGAAAGACGAGCGTGCAACTTGATAAGCTTTGTATGTAAGATCCCACATTGCCCAGGAGAGTGGATCCTATAAGCCTTATATGTATATTCTCATCTCTACCTAGCACGAAGCCATGTGGGAGCTCACTGGCTTCAGGTTCCATCAGAACTCCGAAGTTAAGCGAGTAGCGCACGAGAGCAATCCCATGATGGGTGACCCACTGGGAATTTCTCATGTGAGTTTATAGAAACAGAACCGTGAGGGCGTGGTAGAGGCCAAAGTGGACAATATCGTGCTATGGTGGAGTTGAGCCTGGGATGTGATGGGGGCTCGGGTCCGGATGTGACAATTTGGTATCAGAGCCAAGTTTTGATCTGGGACCTGTGGGCCTGTTGACCTGTGCAGCCCCAACAAAACCCGGTTTCAACCTGGTTTGATTTCGGCCCCCTTTTGCAATTTTTCTGTTGAACAACCAATACTTACTTCTTGCAATCTCTTCCACTACCTCCCCACTACCTTTCTCACCCAAGATTGAAGGGTTTTAGGTCCAAAACCATGTAAAACTGTGTAGCTGACCCAAGGAGTTTTGACGGCGATTCCACCGTTCCGGCAAGTTTCACCACCCATCATCATACTGTAAGATCCCACATCGTCTACGGGAGTGGATCCTGTAAGCCTTATATGTATATTCCCATCTTTATCTAGCACGAGGCATTTTGGGAGCTCACTGGCTTCGAGTTCCATCAGAACTCTGAAGTTAAACGAGTAGCGCGCGAGAGCCATCCCATGATGGGTGACCAATTGGAAAGTTCTCTTGTGAGTTCCTAGAAACAAAACCGTAAGGGCGTGGTAGGGGCCCAAAGAGGACAATATCATGCTACGGTAGAGTCGAGTCGGGGATGTGATAATTTGGTATCAGAGCCAACCTTGGCTGGATATGTGTTGACGAGGACGTGGGGCCCCTAAGGGGGTGGATTGTAACATCCTACATCACCCAGGGGAGTGAATCCTGTAAGCCTTATATGTATATTCCCATCTCTACCTAGCACGAGGCCTTTTAGGAGCTCATTGGCTTCAGGTTTCGTAGGAACTTCGAAGTTAAGCAAGTTTGCGCGAGAGCAATCCCAGGATGGGTGACCCATTAGGAAGTTCTCGTGTGAGTTTCCAGAAACAAAACCGTGAGGGCGTGGTTGGGGCCCAAAGCGGAGAATATCGTGCTACGGTGGAGTCAAGCTGGGGATGTGGTGGGGGCCCAGGTCGGGATGCGACAATTTGGTATCAGAGCCAATCCTTGGTTGGAAGTGTGCCGACGAGGACGTTGGGCCCCTAAGGGGGGTGGATTGTAAGATCCCACATCGCCCAAGGGAGTGAATCCTATAAGCCTTATATGTATATTCCCATCTCTACCTAGCATGAGGCTTTTTGGGAGCTCACTAGCTTCAGGTTCCATCGGAACTCCGAAGTTAAGCGAGTAGTGCACGAGAGCAATCCTATGATAGGTGACCTACTGGGAAGCTCTCATATGAGTTCCTAGAAACAAAACCGTGAGGGCATGGTAGGGGCCTAAAGCAGACAATATTGTGCTACGGTGGAGTCGAGCCGGGATGTGGTGGGGGCCCGAGTCGGGATGTGACATTGTAGGTCCATGCATGCCTACCATCAATATCATCGATATTGTTCCAACTTAACCACCTATTACTAGGTATTGGTTTTCTTACAAAATGTCTAAGTGATACTAGGGGTGAAAATTTTCATATATTAATTGTATATTATTTTATCACTAACACTGACGTGAGATCCTCGTGTGAGTTCTTAGAAACAAAACCGTGAGGGCGTGGTAGTGGCCCAAAGCAGACAATATCGTGCTACGGTGGAGTCGAGCCCGGGATGTGGTGGGGGCCTGAGTCGGGATATGACATTGTAGGTCCATGCATGTCTACCATCAATATCATCGATATTGTTCCAACTTAACTACTTATTGCTAGGTATTGATTTTCTCACAAAATGTCTAAGTGATATTAATTGTATATTATTTTATCACTAACACTGTTGTGAGATCCTATTCTGGAACACAACCAACTCAGAGTAATTAAAGAAGCGGAACTCTTGCATTGTTCAACTTTTATAATCCCAAGTATTGTAACTACTTGTTTAAACCGTGAAGGACTAAATTTTCAGTCATTCACAAGTCAATTAGATGCTTTCTTCTTCCAAATGAAATGAACCATTTTTCTTCTTAATATTTTAAGGAGAGAATTATTATTATATATGATGCTGTTACCTTTTTAGAGGCTGCGGCGATGATGTAAGAAGGCACCGCGATTCCAAGAGAACAAAAGTGAATTACAAGACAACATATAAGTGAACATACAAAATTGAAAGTTTGTTTCGATTATTTATTCGTAATTGTTATAAATTATGGAATAAGTGTAAGCCTTGAGTAATTAGGTTCTTTAAGATAAAACTCTACACCTAAAAATGACAGTGTGATGAACTTACTATTTAAGGAAAATTGAGGCGATGATATAAACATCATGAACGAGCAATATTCAATCTAAAGAGAAAAGTGTACATGCATAAAAGTTGGCATTTTTTTCTCAGCATTTATATCAATTTATGGGGCATTTTCACACTCGATCGTTATGCGTAAGTTTATTGTTGAGACAATCGATGTGCTTCCATAAAATACTTAATTAGCGATGCCCAAATCCGCTTGATTAATTATATTAGGTTAAATTAAGAATAACATGACTTTTAAAAATGTGGAAGAAAGAAAAGGTTAAAAAATCTTGAGAGAATCTAAAACATATGCACCTCCTTCCATGTTACTCCATGTTTGGTAGCGTGACACAAAATATGGACAATATATATGTATTTCCAACATTAATCAATAAAAAAACATAATTAAAAATAAAAAATGAAGACGAACCCTGAGTGCTGACTTGTCCCCCATACCACCCCCACCCAGGCAATGGCTTACATGGTTAAATTTGATTGCACCTCAGTCTCAGAACCTCATCCCCATTATTCTTTCACTCATTTAAGCTTTCAAAAACTCCTCGAAATCCTAAGCAAAGCCCTCAATGGTTAATCCCTTTATAAAACATTACCATATTCCTTTATTGGACCTTCCCCCTCCCCACTATCAAATGCCATATAGTATTACTTTATAGATAGGCAATATATAATCCTTTTCCCTTACTAACGAATGGCTATAGTATGCTTAAATATTAGCCCTACATATGCTTATATATATATATATAATATTATAAAGATTTGAGTAAAATGTCTCGCTTTCTGATTGCAAATCATAATTTGACATGCAATCTAAACTTTTATTTTATGTTTTAAACTAGTTATTTGTGTGCTTGTATAAAATGTCTCGCTTTCTGAGTAAAATGTCTTGCTTTCTGATTGAAAAATGCAATTTACAATTATTTGTATGATTCGTAGGTAATGACTAAAACTATGTTTTGCAAGTAAAGAGCTGAGCAATTTTCTTTTAGTTGTGTATGTTGACAATAAAGAGTGGAAGATGACCACACTGTAACTGTTAAAACAAAGAAAAATATTAGAAAGACTATGTTTTACTATCATATTTGTGTATTATATGATGTGGAAAGTTATGTATATACAAGCCATTTAAGACAAGGAATCTCTATTTAAAAAAAAAAGTGGGGACTAATTGTGCAACCCACTCCACATCGAATTTTAACGATTCAAACCGTCTATTTTGTAAGTCTCAATCATAGATCATCCTTAAAAAACATTCAATTCAATCTGAAACAATTTGCCTATTTAATTATCATGATGAAATTTTAATATTTCTTAGAGAACAAAGTGTTGGTCAATATCTTTGAACTCAATTAAATACCTCAAACATTTCCGATTTGACTAATATTTTGTAAGGATGATCTATGTGATGCAATTAGCAAAAGGGACAGTTTAGATCGTTAAAGTTTGATGTGGTGTGAGCTCCAAAACTAATTCGATATCTTTTCTTAAAGACTTTTTATGTATATGTGTCGCATCAACTAATGAGTTTATTTTCTTAAATATTTGTAATATACATCACTTATGACATCATATTGTACCCAAATATAATATATAAAGATGTGATCTTCCTGAGTTACAAAACGAAAGCATCTAAACCAAATTTACCATACATTATTATATTGATTTGATTTATTTTGTGAGTGACGCAACGCAACCCTCCAATGCAAGTGGAAGATTAAAAAAAGAAAAGCCAGGGAGCAAAGGGCCACAAAGGGGCAAAATAAATGAGATGAAAAGGAAAGCAGCTTGTAGCTATTACCCCATATCCAATCCCATCAAATATAATCCACATTCCACTCTCCAGTGTTCCCACAGTCAAAAGCAGAGAATCCAACGGTGGAGGAACATCCTGCGCGGAAACACGGAGCCGCTCTCGCCCAACTCCTTGGAATCTCTTCATCTCTCTCTCCAGTCTCCACACCCAGACCCAAACACTCCCACTTCTCAACACACCCATCTCCGTCTCTCTCCTCTATTTATATCACCCTCCCCAGGCCTTCTTGGCCAGCTTAGCTTAATTTTCCCCTGCGCTCTCTCTCTCTCTCTCTCTCTCTCTCTCCCTCCTTTGCTTGGACTGAAAGCAATCTCATGTAATTCTGACTGATTCACTTCCACAACAACAAGGATTGTTATTATGAGTTGCAACGGCTGTCGAGTTCTCCGAAAGGGCTGCAGCGACACCTGCATGCTCCGCCCCTGCCTCCAGTGGATCGAAACCCCCGAAGCCCAAGGCCACGCCACTGTCTTCGTCGCCAAGTTCTTCGGCCGTGCCGGCCTCATGTCCTTCATCTCCGCCGTCCCCGATTCCCAACGTCCGGGTTCGTGATTATTCCGATTGTACCCTTCGTTTTCACGACTAGTTTTCCCATTTTTTTGTTTCTGATTTTTGTTTGTTTTCAGTTCTGTTTCAGTCCCTGTTATTTGAAGCCTGCGGCCGTACGATCAACCCGGTCAACGGAGCAGTTGGGCTGCTCTGGACCGGCAACTGGCACGTCTGCCAGGCTGCCGTTGAGACCGTCCTCCGCGGCGGTACGCTGCGGCCGATTCCCGAGCTCCTCGGCGGAGCATCCACTCCCGACGAGGCCTCCGAGGCCGATGTCGGCGGCGTCACTATCTCTACGGACATGTGGAGGCTTCGAGATCTGAGTCACAACTCCGGTTCCTCCTCCCGGTTCACCAGCTCCCGGTCCGCCAGGGCCTCCTCGCCGAAACGCAAGCGATCCGCCGCGGCCGACGAGTCCTCCACCAAGTTACTTCAGCTCCAGCAACACGCGGATCTGGATCTCCAGTTGACCCCGACCCCGTCTTTCAAACCCAAGCCCAAACCGGAGACCCGACGACCCGGAACCCCGTCCATGAACTCGGATGAGTCCGGCGTCACCACGTGCTTCGAGAGTGGGTTCGAAGATCAACACCCGTACTCTTACGCCGTCGGAACGGAGAGAAAGCTACTCAACTTGTTCCCCTGAGGAATTTTCCCTTCCGCCAATTTTTTGTTGGTGAATCCGACGCGGCTATATACTCTCTCTCTTCTGTAATATCCCTAGTTTTATCTCTTTGGGGGTTTTCCCGGAATCCATGTCCGGCGAGTTTTTGATGATCTCCGACGGAGGATTTCTTTCTTCTTCTTTGTTGTTGTTACTGTTTATAGAGATAAAAAAGAGAGAGAAAATTGAGAGTCTGTGTGACATTAATAAATATATAAATAATTAATGGTATTTATATCTTCTTCTTGTTTTTACAATTTTGTGTAGTTTTTGTATCCAATTTGGCTTCTATTTTCAGAATTTTTTTTTTTGTTAAATAAATATTTATATTAACAGGGCAAAGCCCAAAGAGAACATGGAAAGCCGAGAGAAACTCTCACGGTACCAAAAAAACAAAGGGGAAACAACCCCGAAACAAAGCCTGCATATAATGAGTTAGACCAAACCCTACTACCCATTAATTATTACCCTTGAATTTTACCAAGCCTTCTAGGTCTCTCCTTTAATTTCATCCTCTCTTTACTCCACTTATATAATTAGCGAAATCTTGGAGCGATAGTGGGTTGAAGGGACTCGTAATATTTACGAATACAATTCATCTCGTGCATAGAAGGTTAGAATTTAAGCACTTACATGTTTAACCTATACAAGTTTATGTAAACATTACTTAACTACTTGATTCCGACACAACATTATCATTGCGCATGATTTTTAAAATCGCAAGTCAATGTGCTCATAAACATTACTTAACTACTTGATAGACAGTCTAGCATAGGGGTGGGCACGGTTCGGTTTAAGTGCGATTTTGAATGAAACCGAAACTGATACCAAAACTTTTTGCAGTTTGGTTCGGTTCGGTGTAGTTTCAAACGATTTCAGTTCAATTTTTAAGCAAAAATGTACAGTTTAATATTTGAAATGCTTGTTACCTCAAGCTTTACATGAATGCAATCAACAAAGAAGAACAACTTTCTTGACCTTTTGGCTAAGATCAAGTGTTGCAAACTCATCTAAAAGAACAATAATTTCTAGTAGGATCATAGATCAGAACTTGAAATGAAAGACATCATAAATTATAACATATTAATAAGCATCTCCCAATCTGGACATCACAGAGAGTGCTCCTAAAGGGTACAAATCTAGTGTGAGATAATGCATTCAAGTGCCTGATGATCCAATTTACAATGCATTTTGTGTCGATTTCTCAACGTCCTTTGTGTGGAACATTTACCCTTTGATTACATGTCTAGTGTAGGACAATGCATTCAAGTGCCCACCCCAATTGATGGGTGATGATATTATGTCGAAGGCTAAAGAAAGAAAGTATGAATAATAATATTCTAGTGTGGTTTAGTCCATACGATGTGTATGGACTCATAACAAACAACCAATTAAAACAGAACATTTAACATGGACATTTAATTAAATGTTTATTAATATTTGTTGTGCGGTTTTCAAAAGCCAAAACCAAAACCTAATCGTTTCCTACATTGCAGTTCCGTTTTGCAATTGCAAAACCGAACCGTTAGGTACGGTCCAATTTGGTTCGTGTTTTGGTTTTAGTTTTCTATTTAAAATGCCCACCCTTAATCTAGCATATTATGTTATCAGATAATACATGTGTCAAACTATACAAGTGACGAGAGTGGAACTATTGTAGTGAAACATGAATAATGAAGGGTAAAATTTAATAGGGTGATTTTAATTTAATTTATCTACTTACAAGGGTGGAACTGTTGCAGTAAAACATGAATGTTGAAACACAAACTATAAAAATGACGAGTGAAACTATTGATTACTTCAGAATGAGTTTAATTTGATTTATCTATTACATAAAATTTGAAATTTGAAATAATTTAACGCAATATAAGCGTTACCACTACTTTAGGATGGTAAGGAAAAAGGCACTAAAAAAATTTAAGTAAGCTATTTGGACGTAGGGTGGGTGGGGAATGCGATCTGGTATACTAATTGTTATAATATAAGGAGTTGGATATTTGAAAAAAAAATCAAAACACTTATATTATGGGAACATTTTGCTCACCATTATAACTATGGTGCAAGCTCACTATACAGCTCATCATTCGACATATGTCATTTCAACTAACTCTGGTTTACTTTAATGGTAAATATTCATTTTCTAATTTAAAAAAAAAAATTAACTTACTTAACATGTGTCAAATAATAAGGTGTATACCAAGCAAACACCATACTTAATGATATGAGCAATAATGCACCGGGCCCATCGTAGAGAGAAATCAAATATATTTGGTAATTTTAATGGAATGGATGCAGAGAGGGAAACTCAGAAACTAAACTGTAGAGATGGGGAAGGAATCAAAAGGGTTGTGTTTGGGGGGACCCACTGCTTACAAGGCTTGCAGTTTGTGCGTCTCTTTCACCCAATGGCAAGCCAAGATAGACGGACCATGTCAGCGTCGATTTTGGCTGTCTTGTTATTTACTATATTAATAATAAGAATGTGATATTCACACAACCCATTTTACTTTTCATACATTTTTTTAATTTTCGGCCGTCAGATCGAATGAATTGAAAAAGATCAAAGGACAAAAATTATCAAGGGATGTGTGAGATGTAAAATGGGGTATGTGGATATCACATCCCTTAATAATAAACATAAAATTATAATGATATAGAGTTTCACTTTGGTGCTATGTAGCCTTAAATGATGCGAGTATTGGATGACTTAAAATCATAAGACGAATAAAAAGCAATAATCTAATAGAGTTTTTTTTTATCACTTGTAAGTGAGAGGTCTTAATTTTGATTCTCACCAAACACGAATTTGAACCACATTATTACTAGTCCATTGTGAGGCTTAGCCCCTTCTTCACACTTTTAATTTCAATAATATCTTTGTTTAAAAGTAAAAAACAATTTCGGTCATCCAATGTCACATCCTGACCCAAGCCCCCACCACATCCCGGGCTCGACTCCATCGTAACATGATTTTGTCCGCTTTGGGCCCCTATCACACCCTCACGGTTTTGTTTCTGGGAACTCACACAAAAACTTTCCAATGGGTCAACCATCCTGGGATTGCTCTCGCGCGAACTTGCTTAATTTCGGAGTTCCTACGGAACTCGAAGCCAGTGAGCTCCCAAAAGGCCTCGTGCTAGGTAGAGATGAGAATATACATATAAGACTTACAAGATCCACTCCCCTAGGCAATGTGGGATGTAAAAATCCACCCCCCTTAGGGGCCCGAAGTCCTTGTCGGCACACTTTCGGCCAGGGATTGGCTTTGATACCAAATTGTCACATCTCGGCTCAGGCCCCCACCACATTCCGAGTTGCGATGTGTCATCCAATGCCCTTAGCATTTAATACTACGTAGCATAGAAGAATTTCCCTATGAAATAATGTCATATTATACATGATATTTTATATTTGAGTCTAAATAGAAGGCAAAACATCTCCAATACATGTGAGACTTAAAACTTATATTTGAGTATTAAGGCAAAGTGAGACTCAAATTTGGATTTCAATATGAGATTTGAGCGCAAGGTGAAGCTTATGCTAACCAGTAAAAATGTTATTCAATCTATAAAAATGTTATTCAATCTAGAAAAATGAGATTTGAGTTTTGAGTCCAATGCAGTGCACATAACCAAATTGTTAAAACTCAAATATGAAGTTTGAGTTTAATGTTTGCTCCTCTAATGCATTGACACTCGATATTTGGAAAATTTAATAAAAAGAGTTAATAACACATGATCTTATTCTATTTTAAAGTGCGGATACTTTGAGATAAGCCACTCAGTAAGTTAACACACTAATTAAGTATTCAAATCATTAACATAATTAAATTAGTTAAATTTGAAATCATGAACTTACAAGTGTAAAAAAATATTACTAAACTGTAATTTAAATTATATTTAGATATTTTAGTTCTATGTTGATTCTTTATAGAATTCCATCCACTTGAGCATTAATCAGCATTGCCTCCTTCTCCTATCTTGGGAGTGGGTGGGATCCACTTCGACACCACCACCACAAATTTACTTTCATATTTTAAAAATGTTCAAATATGGCTTCTTTAGAGAGAATATTTGACGTCAGCCACCAATTTACAATTCTTTTTCCTCATATCTTTTTCAAGTTAACCTAATTATATTTTTAAATAAATAAAAGAAATGAAAAAAAGAAAAGAAAAGGAAAAAAAGGAGTAAGTGATTGAGTCACTAGCGAGGAGACGGTAGGACTCGGGAAGGTTGGAAAATGATTTTTAGCTAAAATAGTCTTTGAGATTTGCATAACACATCATTTTGGTCTCTGAGATTGAAAATCAATAGAAATGGTCCCTGAGATTATCCACCATCCATTATTTTGGTCATTCCGTTAAAAACTCCGTCAAGTGTCCCGGAGCTCTTGGCCAGAAGTTTGGGCAATTTTCAAAGCTTCGTAACTCAATCGTTTCTTAACCAAATTCAACCCATAATATATCAAAATGAAGATAGGAAAATGCAGAACAAGATTATACCTATTTGGAATCCTAATGGTTGCCAGAGATGATTGGAAAATGGCCTGAAAGGTGACTGGTCCGAGGGAAAGCTGGAAAACTTACCGGAAATTGGGTAAATTTAAACGTTCATAACTTCTTCAATACTCAACAAAATCGAGTGATTCAAAATGAAAATCATACTTCTCAATGAGACAAAGAAAATGGTACCTTTCTAGATGGCTAATTCACCGTGGTTTGGCCGGAAAATGGCTCAAAAATGGCTAACTCGGGACCAAGACAGCCATTTTCGAGCCGTTTTCCGGTCAAACCACGGTGATTTAGCTATCATTAAAGGTACCCTTCTCTTTGTCTCGTCGAGAAGTATGATTTTCATTTTTGAATCACTCGATTTCATTGAGTATTGAAGAAGCTTTGAACGCTTCAAGTTTACCTAGTTTCTGACGAGTTTTCCAGTTTTCCGGGCAAACCAGTCACCTTTCAGGCTATTTTCCGGCTATCTCCGCAACCATTGGGTTTCCAAATAGGTATAATCTTTTTCTACAATTTCCTATCTTCATTTTGATATATTACGGGTCAAATTTGGTTAAGAAACGATTGAGTTACGAAGCTTTGAAAATTGCCCAAACTTTCGGCCAAGAGTTCCGGGACACTTAAGGAAGTTTTTCATAGAAGGACCAAAATAATGGATGGTGGACAATCGTAGGAACCATTTCTATTGATTTTCAATCTCAGGGACCAAAGTGAT